CATATATCAACCGATTGCACTTTTCTGTTGGGAGGCAAAGACTGAATGTATTATTGCATGGCCATATATAGGAACTGTAAATTTGTACATGTTTGACTCGATATTACCCATGTAGTACAGATAATTAATTATCTTTAAAGTGTTTGCGAGGAATTATTACAATACAACCCCTATTCTACTACCAAAAACAACATTGTTTATAGGGTGATACGTTTTGAACAAAAGTACATTTTTATATCATGAAATATCACTTTAATTTATATTATTTTTTAATATATGACATCCGAATATGAAATAAAATATGCATATTTTTGTTTAATCTTTTCTTAAACTATGACATCTAAATACAAAAGTATACATATTTATTAAAAACAATTCACATAATTTTTTTTCAATCAAAATTTCACAAAAATTTTATGGTTTGGGCCAAACTACATGAGCAGCTTTTTCGTACGAAAATGGCAAAAACAGTTCATATATAGCATATAATATAAGCTTCTCAACTCTAATTTTAACTGTAGACATTAAAAGGTTAAAAAAATTAATCTTTATCATTAACCCTAACTAATCATTTAAGTAGAGCCAAACCAGGAAAACTAAGAGGCTCGTATTTTACGTACCTAATAACTGTTTGTTGGTGGAGCAGCTGCTGCATAATGTTTATCCACAACTTCAATAAGCTTGTTAGCTATGGCACTTGCATACACAATTGAACCTTCACAAATCTGCCATAACAAAGATCAAAACAATTAAATAAACCAAGACTAAAAANCCAAAAAAAAAAAAAAACTTCTATTCATGAAAGGACAAAAGTTGGAAAAACCTTGGAGTTAAACAAGAAGCTGTAATAATCACCGATAAGCCCACCGGCAACATGATGCAAATCGAGTTGAAGCTCGTCTAAAACCTTTGACACGAAAAGCAGACAATTTATCCTCTTCTGCTGAACAACCTTAACCGTAACCTCGTCATCTATGATCCGAACATCAACTTCAGTGTTCTTGGATTTCCTGTGCAGCCACGAACTTCTAAGACCCGACCCATTGCAAGGATGATCCAAGTCGAGAAGTGGCTTTGAATCATTCTCTGTATTGTTGTTATCGTTGCTATTATTATTATTATTGGCATGATTGTGATTTTCTTCTGTTTTGAGCCTCTTCAGCCTTTCTCTAGCACACCTCTTTTTCTCCACAAGAAGCTTCAGCTCCGCCACTGATCTTTTCAGCTCGTTTATGTAGTCGATCGCGTCCCCGACAATCGAGGCTCGGTCGTTCTTGAATTGAATATTACAAAAGAAAATTGGAATAGTTACTAAATTTAGGGGAAAAAAAAATCAGTTTTAGGTTTGCACATGAAGAAATAAATAAAAATCCTTTCTTTCTGAAGAGGTGCATGAAGAAGAATAAGATCTCAAACATTCAAAGTTACTGTGCATGTTTCAAAATGGGAGTCTAACTGACATTGAATTTCGATTTCATAAACTGGGAAAGATTAAAGATTCTATCTTTCCAGCACAAATTAAAATTATACACTTGTCACAATAAAATTACATATCGGGACTGAAAGCAATAACGAATCAAGAACACACAAAATTTTCAGCGACAAATTAATTAATCACCTTAGTGGGATTAGCAACCAATTTTCTGAGAGCTTGATATTTGTCGTTCAAAAGCACCCTTCTATGCCTCTCCGTCGCAAAATGCTTTGTGTCCCCTTTGCCGTCTCGGTTTTTACCCAGACAATCAATCTCACCGGCGGCAGCGAACTCAAAGACCCCATTTTCGCCGGACGGGTAAAAAACCCCTCCGCCGCCGCCCCCAATATCCCTCTCGTCCACCACCCCACCGAAGAAAGATCCGGCGGCGCCGGAATGGAACAGATCCCTGAGCATCGGCGGCTGCGGGGGCAGATTTAAGGGCAGTGAGTCGTACGCGCCGCCGGGCCCCGATACGTCGGCAGTCGGGTTGTTGAGGTCCCCCAGGAGCCCGAGCGAGGCAAGGAAGCTGGGGGATTTCCGGTGGGTCGGGCCGGAGAAGGTAGAGCAGATCGACGGCGGAGGTGGTGGGAAAATGTTGAGCAGGTCGTGGTGTGCGGTGGAGGAGGCGGCGGCGAAGTGGCCGTTTTGGGAGTAGTCGGCGCCGAAGCCGCTCATCTCCTGCACGATCTGCTGGATCTCGGCGGTGCTAGCGGCGGTGGTGTAGCAGTGCTCCATCTCCACGGCGATCTGGTTCTGAAACTCCATTTCCATGGCGGAGATGGCGGCGGCCGCCGCCGAGGGTTCGTGCTGGTCGTGAATCGGGAAATTAGGGTTTTGGGATTGAGGAAATCCATCTCCTTCGTGCAAATTGCAGGTTTGATCAAACACTGTGTTCTCTTCATACATTTTTCTTTGAGCAATTTTTGTTAAGTTTTTTATGAGCAAAATAAGTGGTTTTGGGGTTTTCCANTTGAAAAGCATAGTACAATGCAGATAAAGAAAAAAAAAATGAAATATTAAAAAGGAAGTAACTATGGAAACCCTAAAATTATTACCTTTTTGTTTTGCTTTCCTTTTATTGTTTTTCTACAAAGATTTGTCTTTTATTATTTTTTTTTTATCCTTTGGTTCAATAAATTGTGATGGGATTCACCAATTATGTTGAAATATCAAAATTTTTTGAATGGGAAAAGGAGGTTTTTGGGATTCGCACTATGATCAAGAAGTGGTTGGCTTTGTTGGTTATATGGTGTTGATTAGGACTGAAAAAACAAATATTTATTTTGTTAACATAGTAAGTCCGGTATTAGCATATTAGAAGTTTTATTAGGCTGACTAATAATTAAATAAAATTGTATAATTTTATTATGAAATATCATACAATAAAAAATATCATAAATAGAAATATAATAGAGTATGATATATGATCATATAAGTATGCATTTTTGTTCATATAGTACGATGGGTCAACCCCGCCTAATGATTAGACCACCTCACAAAAAAGTTTATATATATGTATATATTTATATATATATCATTCCGAACTAAAATATTATGCTCTAACAAACAAAATAAATAAAAATATGATATTTTATAACATATGTATTGTATTTTTTTTAATACGTCGAATCCACAAAAAAAAAAATTGTTATTAGAATGCTAACTGTTTTTGTATAAGTTTATTTTCTTTTTTTCATTTTTGCATCTTTGTTTTCTATAAATGGAGAATTTGTTATGATCAGAATCTCATATCTTGGGCCCCAACAATGATCTTCTCCACTTTTTCAGAATGATTTTGCACTGACATGTTATTCTGTTTGAACATTCTACCAGTTTCAAAGTTGATGCTTTTGTTTATAGTTTCTCTCTTTATTTTTTTTTCTTTTTATCAGTTATAGCTTTTAATAAGTGTATTTGTTTCAAGTTTTCAATCATTTGTTTAGCAGATTAAGATATTTCGGAGTTCTCAGATTTTGGTGTCTCGATTACGGTCTTGCCCATCTTAGATTCCTGTTTTTTAATTTTTGGTTTGAAGTGACTGTTGTAGTGACAAGCTGTGCAAGATAGGGGGAGGACATTATTATATTTATTACTAGCCCGTGCGATGCACGTGGTGCATAATTTTAAGGCTATTTATCCAGGCTTATAATTATATACATTACTAAAAAAAAATGTACGGTATATATATAGTACGTGACCCGTGCGAGGCACGAAATATATTTATTTGAGTAATATTATATTATAAGATGCAATATTAACTAAAATTTTATAATACGTAAGAAAATTGTACTATAAGAAGTATTGCATGAAAGACCTATTAACTTGTTTGATTAAGCTAAATTCTTGATTCATTATTTTGAATGAAATACTGATTGGGGATATTTTTTTCGTAGGAGGTTGAAGTGAGGAAGACGATGACTCAATATTTTGAGATTTATAATTAATAATTAGTAGAGTAGAATCAATATCTGTTAAGATTTTTAAGAAAAAATCTTGATATACAGAAATCACTTAGATCAGATTTTCCATACAATTAGATAAAATTTTTTGTAGAGAAGAAATTTTAAATATACACAAACTATAAATATTAGATGTATTGATTTACGTAAATCAATATCTATATAGACAACCAAACCCTTCAATTTAGGCTTGACATCTGATTTATTTTTTGTAAAATCAAGATTTTATCTTCCGATCAAATATGCCTTTTTTTTGTTTTACGTACATTTATTTTTTGTACCGATTTTATGAGAAAAAACAAATTAAATAAAAATTAATTGATAGAAATAGAATGCATTAATTACTTTTGACTTTTCTTTCTATTAATTCTAATAAATGAGATGACTCTTTATATAAGTACAGATTAAATGTTCGAAAAATTGGTATTCAATGTATGTTGTAATGTATGAATAAGTAATATGTATTGTGATAGCTAATAATTGAAATAAACTAAAAAATATATAAAATAAGTAATATTCCAATATACTATTAAAAATTTCGAACCAAGTTCTCAAATAATAATACTTGCAAGCGTTCATTTGCAGCTCTAATGCTGCTTATTCTACTTAATGAAATGAAAAACAGCAGCTACATAATGCGGCTGTTAAAAAAAAATAAAATAAAAATAAAAAACTAAAACTATAACCTAAATTATTTTAAAATAAGATAGCAATCATAAGAATTCAGTTAATCTTGTTTAGAATTTTTATCTGTATAATAATCATTATCTTTATTGTTGTAAAATAGATATCTGTTAGGAGTGCTATTCAAAATCATACGGGATCAAATTATTAAGTCCGAGTTTGAAGGCTAACATAGCAATTAAAGAGTCTGGTGAATCAAATACTTCTTTAGAATTTTTATTTGTAAAATAATCTTTATCTTTATATTTGTAAAATAAATATCTTTTAGGATAGCTATTCAAAATCATACGGGATCAAATTGTTAGGTCCGAGTTTGAAGGCCAAAAGATTAATAATGTCCGAAAATCTATATTTAGTAGGCATTAAATGTATTTGGCGGGAAATAACTGCTAAAATTGTTAANGTTTGTATTCTCGATTATTAGAGTGTTTGATTATCCTGTGTGGGAGTTAGATTTCCCCGTTTGTGAGTTAGGTAACTTTTATTTAACAGACTATATTAATAAACGTTTAAAAAAATCAGGCATGTTTGTTTATGGAAATTTTTCAAAAAAATTTTACATTTTAACTAAACCATTTTTTTTAACTCAACTTTAACTCAACCCCACTATTATCAATATTATTAATATAGTTAAATAATATCAATCAATCATTCATACACACCACATCAACCTTAATTCACTATTCATTCACTCACATTATTTTAACTAACCATCACTTCAACTATCTCTCTCCTACTTTTACATCAAATCAATTTTAATTATTTTATTTTAAATATTATTTTAATATACCCACTAACAACTAACCATACAACTTTTTAAAAAAATTAACCAAACCAAAACAAAAAATCCAAACAAACTAAAAATTTCCATAAACAAACATGCTCTCAGTTCCGTTTAATTGAATCGGTCATATTGAAAGGGTTTTGTTTTCCATTATTTGGAGATTTAAAATCATGGTTCGTTCAACACAGCGCATGCACAAATGTATAAACACAAATTGTTGCTAAGCTTAGCAAACCGTTACGCAAAACGACAAGTTATACTTTTTTTAACAAAATCGTAACTAAATTATGAAATATCATAATTTTATAAAAAACGTATAACTAAATTATGACATATCATATTTTTATACTGTTATATTTTGAAATGTTACATTTTAATTTAAAAATATGTATAAATGTTAAATAGTATGGATACTCAATGATTGAGTTTATCTATCTACAACTTATGTACAAATACAATAACAATAGCAATAATATTTTTTTTTTAAATTTTGCGTAGCATCAAAGACCAATCAAATAATTAAC